CTACCATGCTCAGTTGGTATCTCTCCTCTCACATTTTGGTAATTCTCACAATATCTGACACTTTTTCATCATGCCATTGCACACCTAATAGACTGCCTTAGAGTATAAACATGATTTTTGTGTGGACTGAGAAACCAAAACATTTGTGTGACTAACTTTATTGGGATTTTAACTTAAGTGTGGTCTGGGTCTGAGGTCTGTTCCACTAGACCGCTCACTCTACAGTACTAGACCACCCGAGACACGTCCACTGTTGATCATCCGACTGGAGCAGAGGCGCTCTCCCCTCCCTCTGCCCTCTCCTGCGCTGGGGCAGGGGCTCAGGTCTCCTCAGTCCTTTGAGGTGTATGCTTTTCAGGGCAGCCAGGTGGTGGTCAGGCTGAGTTTTCGTTGCAACAGGTAATAGAAAAAAACATAATACAAACAGTCTTGAACCTGGTTTGATGTCCATGAAGATAAATCACTGAGACTTCCATGAATTGTCTTGCGGGGTTCCATTTTAATGTTTTTCCAGTTCAAATGTAAAAATATTAAAACTATTTATGGAGGGAAAGTTGATGACATTAGCTCAGTACAGATAACTTAGAAAGCTTTTTGTTGGTGGGGTTTTTTTGTTGTTTTTTTTTCCGTACAGGGATGGAAGAATCTAATTTGAGTCAGGAACCTCTCTCTTTTTTATTTGGCTGTTTAGCTCCTTGGTGAGTTGGAAAAGGATCCCAAACTTGTTTATCATATTGGACTGACTCCAGCTAAGCTTCCTGACCTAGTGGAGAACAACCCTCTAGTCGCTATTGAAATGCTGCTGAAATTAATGCAGTCAAGCCAGATCACCGAGTATTTTTCAGTCCTGGTCAATATGGACATGTCCTTACATTCAATGGAAGTCGTCAATCGGTAAGTTTTCCTAATGCCGGCTTTCTATACTGGATCAAAGTCGGATTAAATAATTAGAAAGGAACATTAACACCAGTTGTAGTTTTCTTTTCTTTTTTTTTCCAGTTGTAGTTTTCTGATACTGTTTGTTAGCCTGAGCTCCCCCATTAAAAGAGTAATCTGAGCCTTGGTGTTGATGCCGTGTCAATTTAGCATTCTCTAGTAAGCACTGAGAGGGTAGTCTTTCAAACATTCTTAGTGTTAATGGAAGTTTGCATGAAATGTAATAGCTATCGTTTAGTTCCCTTACATGGCCTTCTCCTTTACTCCTAAACAAGCAAACATAGGTATGACATTCTTAGTGAAATGCAGGAATCTTTAAGATCCCAGTGAATTCCAGGAATGTCGCCATGGAAACGCCTTGCCTCCTCCCAGCTTGGCTCTTGGGTCTCCTTCCACACAGTGCATTCCTTCCCTGCCTTGTGCACTGCCCTTGTTTGCCTTGGCCCTTCTATTAAAATGCTCTCTGAGGGCTTCTTTCTGTCCAGGTCTTCTGAGTGGCACACCTTCCCCTTCACTCACTCTTGTAGCAGTCCTTATCCATAGCAAACACTGGGAACTTCATCATGCATATCTCTGGTGATCTTCCAGTTTCAAAGACGGGGTCCTGTCTTCCCTCAGACATGTTACACTTCGTTGCTGACACAGCCCCGAGCTTCCCAGCAGCAGTGCACCTTGGAGCACGAGCTCATTGCCTTAGTAACTGCATGTGGTCAGACAAGTTTAGAAAATGCAGCATGTGTGAATCTTCTCTGGGAAATTCATAATGAATGTTAGCATAACGGCTTTGCAATTAAGGAAACACATTGCATGTAACTCAATGTTTCTTAGACTTGAAGCATAAAATATCCAGAACTTAGTTTTATTTTTTTCTTTGCTTAAAACATTCTCTGAAAAAAAAACACAAAAAAAACATTCTTGGAATCCTGTGGGAAATATACTAGCTTTCACCTTCAGGACTCAAAAAATCTGGTAGGCCATCTTACCTTTCAGTATATTCCAGCCAGGCCTTCCCCTCTTCCTAAATATGTCGTGCTGGTCCCCCAGTTCCAAGCCTTGACTCC